ATTGTCTTTTTGATAAAAATTTAATATGCCTGGAAAGATAAGACTTTTTTCTGTATAACGCCATCATTAGTTTTCCCATTTTTATTGTATAGGCCTTTAGATGATGCAGCAAAGTTTATGTTTTTATGTATATTTTTCTACAAGTTTTTTTTATTATTTAATACCATAACTTTTTTTGTACGAATCTACCATTTAATACAAGTTTCTAAAAATTTCCTTTTTTTGTACCAAATATACTATTGTTATGTATGAAAAGGTGTTATTTTAAATCGCCTTTACAGACAAAGATTTAATATTTAACGACTTTTTAAAATACTATTTTTTATAGATATTTATTTTTTTTTTTAAATTTTTAAAAGTGAAAAAGTACAATTTGGTCACTGATGGCCTCTAAGCGACCATATCCCAAAGATACTCTGAAATCTTCTCAATAACAACAAAATTAAAATGTTTACCTCTATGGCATTTAGGCTCACTTTTCTAACAGTCCATGATATGAAAATATTTACATTTTATTTAAAATCTAATTAGTGAATGCGAAATGAATTGATTTAAATAATCAGTAAAATAGTATAAACTAGTAAAATAATGATTGGATATGCTATTGATGGATGCTTTATTGGTTTTACATTCTTGTAAATAAGTTTTGCAAGAATATTAGACGGAATCTGTTTGTACGGAAAAAATGCTTGATGAGAAGAGTAACTCTCATGAGAGTCTGGTATCACTTGAAAGATTTTTAAAGCCTAATACACCGGTATATAAACCATTTATTATCATGTTAGCGATTTTTAGTGACAAAATGTAGGAAATAAAAGAGCTTTTTGTATAATTCCCTATCCCAAATCCTATATAACTGTAAACAGAACTTTTCAATCCAAAATAGCCCAATCGTCTTCCGCGAAAGTAATTAGGATATCTATAAATGTAATAAAAATGTACCGTAAATAAAATTTAAAAAAAATTTGTTTTTAAATTTTTGCAAAACAAATTGCATTAAGTGCAACTTTTCCTTTTTTACTTCGTATCTAGAGGACTTCCTCTATCCATCGATACCCATAATTTATACCAAAATATTATAGCTTAGTTAATGCCAAGTTTTGTTCAGGGAGACCCCACTTTGCACTGTTGTTCTATTATTATTTGTTTCTCACATCCAATGAATGGTTACTTACACTCCCGCTCACTTAAATAGGTTCACTGTTTTGATTACAATCAAATTAATTTTTTGCAAAAACTAATGGACTAATTAGTAATATTAAAATTTTAAATAATAACATGATGTCTTAGGTATCACTAGTGATACAAAAATTAGCGCAATACCAGATAGCGGATTTTTAATAATTTTTTTCTAACATGCTACGTTTTTTAGCCATATTTTATTGGCTCACTTGATTAGGTTCAATCAGAATAAAATCAGTTTACTGCTGGCAGTGAGTAAAATCCATTCATATTCTAGTGCCTGTGAATATAGACAATATATTTTTTAACAAATAGGTTGCGGTGAGGCATTTACTAAAGAATAAAATGACAAAATTCAAGCGTTTTTGGAAACTGTCCAAAATTACAGGAATTTGGCAAAAAAAATTGGACAAATTCAGAATGTTATTCACAATTGTGTAAGAAAACAGTTTGAATATTAAGAAAGCATAAATGGAACTACATATAGAGTCAAAACAAAAGCGGACAGATGAGATTTCATAAAATTTGCTTCCAAGTCAAGTGATTCTGTAGCAAAAATTAGAGAAAAAGTGGATGTTACAGCAAGCCTAGCTACAGTAAAACGAATCATTTAGATGAGGAGACCAGGTTACTGTCAGTCAGACAACATAATGTGTTGTTGACTAGACAGTTCCTGTTGGCATGACATCTGCCTATTCACCCCAACCATCAGATTGTGATGGAGGATCCCCCTCCCAGGCACATCCGGATGGACTTCCGACGCTTTCGCAGCGACATCAAAGACGTCATACCATCGGACGTCGACAGACTGTCAATTGCAAGCGCCCGGGAAATGTTGCATCAAATGGCGGTCACCGAGGCCATTAATGGCTACAGATGCAACAGAGTCCTAAATGAACACCCCCTGCGATATCGGAAAGTGAGAGACAATTACTCAGGCACTCTAGAACCACCTTGGTACAATTAAGAGCCGGCTGGTGCAGTTTCCTCAACTGCTACCGTGAACGTATCGTTCCAGGCACTTTAAATCGTTGCCCAGCCTGTCATCTAAGTCCTCATGACACGGTGCATTTATTCAATTTTCCAGCTAGGTCTACAAATTTGCGCCCCATAGACCTATGGTTAAGACCGACTGAGGTGGCACAGTTTCTCCAGCTCCCCCTTCCACCCACAGACACAAACTCAAATAATTAAGTATTTATTACTCTAATTTCAGGAAAGAACTATCGGCCACAGTCGAACTGTTACAACAACAACAGTAAAACGAATTGTAAGAAGGGCCAAGGCTTTAGAAATATTAAAAAATTAATAAAAGCCACTCCAATTGCCACTAGTAAAGAGAAATACTCTTCAGTTTGCACGTGAACACATGATTATAAAAAGCTATATCAACATCTTGTTTTTTCGAATGAAAAAATGTTTAAATTAGAAGGTCCAGATCGATATAATCATTATATCGATTGTTTGCATAGCTGTTGATGATATGGGATGTAGTGGGGGGCAATTTCGTATTATGAAACATGTGAGCTTAAATTTCTTTCATATAGTACGAATTGTAATAATTGTAATGCCATACTGGAAACCGGTTTTTTAATATTTTGCGATATTTTTGAAACATTGCCGTGGATATTTCAAAAATATAATGCCCCGATCCATACCGCTAGGGCTGTAAAAGGGTGGATTTGAAGCCAGAATGTAAAAATTTTGGAGTGGCCTCCATAATCTTCTCATCTATTTATTATTGAAAAGGTTTCGGATATTCTTTCTCGTAATGTGTATAGATCGGGCTGACAGTATGACATAAAAGAAGCCTAAATTGAAGAAACTAAAAAGGCTTGGACCGAAATTTCGTTGCCATTACTTAAGAATCTTTATAACTCTTTATCATCTCGAATTTTCGGAGTTATATCAAGTAACGGCGGATATGTTCCTTAGTAAATCTTTTCTAAAACCTTGTAAAAATGTTTATAAAATAAAAAAGTTTCATGAAAAATGTTGTTGTTTTTGTCAATTAAAGATGACGAACCTATTCAAATGAGCCAAAAAAAATATTGTTCAAAAACGTAGTATTTTAGAAAAAAAAAAATATTAAAAATCGGTTATTAAGTATTGCACTAATGTTTGTCTATCTAGTAGGGTGATCGACTCGATTTTTCAACCGGTTTTAAAACCGGTTTTTTCTGCTTTACCAGTGTCGGTTTTTTCTTAATGTTGATTTTTCGAATATCGAATAACCCGGTTTTTTCACTTTTTAAAAACCGGTTTCGGATACTTTTATTTGCTTTGTATTCAAAGATTATTTAAATGAAATTTTTAAGTAAATAATAATACAGCTAAATTTTAAAAATATTTGAGTCGATGAACTAGCGTATATTTTTCTAAAGCTCCTTTGGTTAAACTTTTTTGATTTTCCTAATTAATTAAAAAAATTTATTTGTAAAATTGATAAGTGTTTGATAAAATTTTATCAATCTTAAGATTATATTCCAATTACAATAATTAATTTACGGCTGAAATTTTATGGAAGTGTTGGAATGCCTATGCAAATTTCCTAAACAGGGCTTTTAAAATAAGCTAGGATTTCATAGTACCTTATGTTTAACAGAAGTGTCCCACTTTTTTCCTAATTTTTTTATATTAATGAAATAATGTAAATCAGACGACTAGATCTACAGTTATAATCTTTTAAACTGTTAAAAATCATTTCGGGCCATGTTTTATTAATCAAATTTAAACATAAACATTAAGTTTTTCAAATTAAAATATATTTTTTTATTTATAATGAAAAACCGGGTTACCGGTTTTTTCTGAATTTGAAAAATATCAACCGGTTTTTTTTAAATGTCAACTATTCGAACTATTCGAAAACCGGTTTTTGGAAAATGTCGAATAATCGATCACCCTACTATCTAGTGATATATAAGACAACATGGTATTAATTAAAATTTTAATATAATCAATTAGTCCATTATTTTTTGCAAAATATTAATTTGAATGTAAACAAAACAGTGAACCTATTTAAGTGAGCGGGAGTGTATATTCAAAATATGCAAAAACAAAATACATACATGAAATAAGTTTCGAAATTTAATAAATTGCATTTTTAAGATCAACAACAATATGCTTGTAATAAGAATTGGAGTGAGAAACAAATTATAAAAAATTAACGGGTCATTACCAAAAACAGTGATAAGTATAAGCAAAAATAATATCAAATTACAGTGACGAAAGTGAGCCAAAAATGTGAACATATCTTAAATACATTACAAAATACAAGCATTATCTGTTATTTTCCATGAAAACATACTTACATTATCATAGTAATTTTAAATGTATTTTTAACAATGAATAATAAACTATACTGCATAGTATAATACAATACAAATAGGATTTAAAAAATATTTTGAATTAGAAATTATATAGAAAATTTTTTGGTGCAACTGTATATTATGAATGAAAAAGTGTGTCTTATTCAAAAAGGGGCGAAAAGTAGCAAGAAAGGAAAAAAGTCGCAAATTTAGTTAGTCGTTTTGACAAAGGGTCCCAAATGTCGCAAGCCGCTATATATAACAATATAAATCAATCGCCTATTATTCCCTTTTTTTAAATACGGATAGAATTTCATTTGATTTTTCATGTGTAGAGCCGTAAGTAAAATCTTACTGTCTAAAGCCATATTATGAGTTTCAATTCAGTACGGGTACTATGAATGAGAATAAATTGAAATTCAATTGTTAAAACTGAATTCGTCTAAGTAGAATTAAAATGAATCGAATAAGCCAGGGTGATATAAATAACAAATTTATTACATTAAATACCTTTTTCTACATCTTGTTCCTCCTCGATTTCACTTTCGTTTTCAACAACACACACATCATTATTTTTATTAGTTATATTGGTCAAATTGATATTTTCCGACACCTTTTTATGTTGTCCACTCAATGGATTATCTGAAGTAGTCGTATCGTTTATGTTTTCGTCAATATTACACTTCTTTAATTGTATTTTTCTACACTTTGGTTGCAGTTTTTGAGAACATGAATTTGGCTTACCATCCAAGACACTATTTTTACCAGTATTCATGTTATTAACTTTTACATCTTGCTCATATTGTTGATATCGCATTTCGTTTACATTTTTAGCGCTAGAAGATAAATCGTTTGAACATCCAACATTTTTCTGTATCTGCAGAGAATTTGATAAACCATTATCAGGATGATTGTGATCTTTGTTTATTTTTCTTTGCAAGGCATGATTAAACTGACATTTTTGTTGCAAATTTAAATTCTGATGTTTTCGATATTGTGGACTTGTGAAAATAAATTGTTGTTGGTGGTGTCTCATGGTTTGAAAGTTATTTACTTCTTCATTAGTATTTTTAACTTGTAGATTGGAGGTTCTAAAAATAAAAAATATATAATAATAAACAATCTAGTTTTATAATAAATTTATAAACATATTGACTATACTGTTGACATTGACAAGAAAAAACAGTAAGTATTAGGGTGTCAATTATTCATGTTTAAAATTATTCGAATAAAAATGTACTATATTTTATCATTCGATTAGTAGATTATATTTGAAAAATTGTTTTTTTTTTTTTTTTTTTGACCAAGTTGTTCAATAACCGATTTTCTTAAAGATGCTTTATATGGGCAATATGGTTACATATGCAATAAAATCGATAAAAAACTTCTGTATACAACATCAAATCCGACCACACAACAGGCCACTATCGTACCTGTTGTGTGCTGCTTTTCATCTTTTAATGTTCTGAAACTCAATTTCCTGGCCGTAATTCCTAAGAATTTCGCAATCAGTGTTCGTGAAAAATGTTCCGCTTGACGAAGACATTCTATCTGGGCTCAGTGTTTCAAAGTTTCCGACATATTCTGTGTCTGGTACGCGATCAGGCACATCTGATGATTGTTTATAGCCTTCCAATGTGTCCAGTATACATTAATGTCCTATAACCTAGTTTTCCTATGATTATGTTATGAGCCGTTCGGTTGTAAGTGCAGCCTCATACCTTAAATATGTTTCAATGGGTGAAATATCTAACAACGTTTCTAGAGACTTGCTTAACGTTGTGCTTATGGCACTTCTTGTACCCAAGAAGAATGTACGCTGAACTCCCTGTTGTAGTTTAATATTACACTTTTTATCCAACGAAGTCAACCAGACTTCTTGCCCAGGAAACAGGGTTCAGTATATCATGAATTCCATGAGAAATCAATTAAGAATTGACCGATGGTCCTCAAATTTCTTTAATTTTTTGTAAACACATACTCTATTAGACATATATGACATATCTACATTAAATTCTTAAAAATTCCAAAAAACGCGAGTTTTTGTTCGAAAACTACAAAAAATTTATATCGGATTTTGTTGATAAAACACAATCTAATTCTATGGCTGTGCTCTTTCATTCTAATATAATGTTATATTAAAGTTTAGGTTTAAGATAGTGCATTTTTTATGGAAATGCATTTTTTGAATGCATTTTTTATGGAAATGCACTTTTTGAATGCATTTCTGATATCGTTCTCCCTGTTTAAATTTTTTTAATGTACATTAATCGATTATTTTGCATCTTTTTATGCAAAATATAAAAATATTTTTTTGTGACGTGCAATATATATTTTTGTCGATTTTTTTAAATGTTTTATATTCCAAAAATTTTTAAATTTTATTGATATTTTATGCATTTAACAGAATTCAAAACTGCTTAAAATACATTACTGGTCGGAATTGAGATGCAAATATTTAAATTCGACTGCAACTAATGTTATTTTTTCAGATAAATGCATTTTTGATGAAAATGCATATTGTGTGCATTTTCTACATTGTTCTTCATGTTTAACATATTGTAAGTGCATTATTGATAAATCTTTAATTTCTTATATAAAATAAAAATGTGTATATTTTTGATGGTCATTCGATCTAACTTAAACTAAAAAAAATAATTTTCAAAATATCGCGAAAAATGATGCTTGAATATTCGTTTAATAAAAAAATTATTTTATATAATATAAAAAATAGCAAATTTTGATTTATGATATTCTAAAATACTGTCAACAGAGCGAACGACTTTGAAAACGTACTTAAGGTGCACTTGCATCAAAAATGCATTTATCTTCAAAAATATTATTTAGAAATGCTTTTTGATGGAAGTGAAATTAGTTGTAATCGAATTCAAATATTTGCATCCCAATTCTGATCAGTATTGTATTTTAAAGCAGTTTTAAATTCTGTTAAATGCATAAAATATCAATAAAAAGTTAAAATTTCTAATATAAAACATTTAAAAAAAAATCGATGTAAGGCACGTCACAAAAAAACACTTTTATAATTTGCATAAAAAGGTTCAAATAATCGACTTATGCATTTTTAAAACTTTTTAAACAGGGAGAACGATTTCAAAACTGCATTCGAAAAGTGCATTGTCATAAAAAATGCACTATTTTAATTATTATAATGAAAGAGCACAGCCATAGTATTAGATTGTGTTTTAAATAAACAAAATGCGATGTAAGGTAGGTAGGTAGGTCGATAGGAGGATGTATACTACATCAAATCCGAAGAAATACACCTAGGCCACTATCGGGCCTGTTGTGCGCTCCTTATCATGAAAAAAAATTATTTTTCAGTGTTCAGAAACTCAGTTTCCTGAACGTAATTCCTAAGAATTTTCCAATCAGTGTTAGTCAGGAATGTTATTTCCGGAATAACATCACTTCCAAGATACTTGGATCTAACTTCGACGAATGCCTGGCAGTGGCAAAGAAAGTGCTCCAGAGTTTCACTGTCTTCTCCACATGCTCTACATTCGTCTGAATCCGCACGTCCAATTTTGCATAGATGTGCTCGTAGTCCTGTGTGTCCACTCAGAATACGTACCATCATACTAACTTCAGACTTGGTTCTACCCACTGTTTCATTATTCCAAGAGGCCTTATGGGATTCTCTCACCCATATTTTTAGTTCAGCTTTTGTTGAGTCGAATGGTTTTGCGTTTGTCAGGTTAACTGCCTCGAGCTCCCTTCCCTTTAAAGCTATTACATTCTCCCTTTCGTTACCGACTACTCCCGAGTGGGCTGGTACCCATATGATGTGAACCTTACCCCTGGGAGAGTATTCAGTTAAAGCTTTCTTACAATCCAATACGGTCTTAGATTTAGTTCTATCGCCTGATATCGCCCTAATTGCCTTCTGGCTGTCGGTAAATATATTAAGCGCTGTGGGCGCCATATTTATTCAAATCCAATTTACACATTCCGTTATTGCTCGTACTTCTGCCTGAAAGCTTGCGTTATGATTTGGTAAACGGTGGTATATTTCTGTTTCTGGGTCTTCAATATAGGAACCCAACCCCACTTTGTCCCCCAATTTAGAGCCATCCGTGTAACAACAGATTCCTAATGGTATTTGCTCTAATGTTCCGCTTGACGAAGACATTCTATCTGGGATCAGCGTTTAAAAGTTTCCGACATATTCTGTGTCTGGTATACGATCAGGCACGTCCGATGATTGTGTATAACCTTCCAATGTGTCCAGTATACATTGATGACGTGTCCTATAACCGCTTTTGGCCAGTTCGCCTAAAGTAAAGAGCCGTTCGCCTGTAAGCGCCGCCTCATATCTTAAATATGTTTCAATGGGTGGAATATCTAGCAATGTTTCCAGAGCCTTGGTTGAAGTAGTACACATGGCACTACTTATACCCAAGCAGCATGTACGCTGAACTCCCTGTAGTAGTTTGATATTGCACTTTTTGTCTAAAGCAGTCCATCAGATTATTGAAGCATAAGCTAGAATTGGTCTAATTACACTTTTATAAAGAAAATTTGTCATAGTAGGACTAAGACCCCATTTCATGCCTATAGTTCTCCTACATATCGCCCAGCACCGATGTGCCTTGTTGATCCTATCCTCTATGTGGTGTCTCCATTTTAATTTCCGGTCGAGGATAACACCTAAGTACTTAACTTTGTCTGTCACTGGTATCTTGTTGCCCAGGAAGCAAGGTTCAGTATACGTAGACATTTTTGTCTTTCTTGTGAAAAGACAGATTTCCGTTTTTGCCGGGTTAACATTGAGGCCTCTCGGTTGTGCCCAGCTCAAGGCCGTATTCAGAGCCACCTCAGCTCTTCTACACAAGTAATTTGGATCCTTTCCCTTAAAAAGTATTACGACATCGTCTGCATAGCAGACAGGTCTAAGTCCTTTCTCAGTTAGGGTTCTTAGGAGGCTATTAATCGTGGTAACCCAGAGTAAAGGTGACAAAATGCCACCCTGTGGTATACCGCGAAATACCTTTTTCCTGATAATTATATCGTACATCTCACAGCTTATCCATCTGTTCCTTAGCATATGGTTGATCCAGTTACGGAGCACCCGGTCAACACAAAACTGGTCTAGGGATTGGATAAGTGTATCAGTGTGCACGTTATTGAAGGCGCCTTCGATGTCAATGCATACCGCCAGTGTATACAGTTTGCTATCAAAGGATGCACCTATGTAGTGGACAACTTCGTTTAAAGCGGTTTCCACCGATCGTCCCTTTACATAAGCATGCTGCTTAAATTTTAGGTCTTCGTCCGGTATACTGCTTTTCACCATACTATCAACTATCCGTTCCAAAGTATTCAGTAGGAAGGACGTAAGACTTATCGCTCGATAAGACTTAGGTGTCGAATAGCTAGGTTTCCCTGGTTTAGGTATAAATATTACCCTTGCATCCTGCCATTTAATGGGGGTATATGTGAATTTCAAGCATGCAGTGAATATCTGAGACAGATGTACGGAGACCAGTCCCGCCTCCATCTGTAAGAGTGCCGGGAAAATGCCATCCGGCCCTGCAGCTTTATAGGGAGCGAAGCTCTTGATTGCCCCTTTAACCATGTCAGATGTAATAACTATTTCCGTGTTACCCTCCCCTTCCATCAATATCGGTTCATCTATGTTATTCGATATACCGGGTGGAAAATGAGAGTCCATTAGGAGTTTCATTGTCTTCTCCATATCCTCCAGCCTCCTGCCCGTATCATCGACCATAGATTCTGGTTGGACATGAGTTTTGAATAGGAATTTTTTTATCTTCGATACGTCATTTACGCTGTCTACCTGTTCACAGAAAAGTTTCCAGGAGTCTCGTTTGGCTTTACGAACAATTTTCTTATATTCACCAAGTTTACTCATCCCAGTATACTGTGGTCTTTTTACGCCGTGCCCGGTTAAATAGTTTGCGAAGAGTCTTACCAAGGTTCCGGATCTCCCGGTTACCCAGGGTTTCTCCTGGGCAGATCTCCGCTCTCGCAGAGGGCAGCTGTCCTCGAACGATTCAACCAAAGCACTTGTGAGCATTTCTACTTTGGCGTCTATGTCCTCTTTATTTCG